TTGCTGCACCCACTGATCAGGTGGTCGACTGTCTCATCTTTCTCATTGCAGAGGTGGCATTTGCTGTTGGTGGTAACATGTTGAATTTTTGCCTTCATACAGTTTGTGGCTAGGGCTTGTTCTTGAGCTGCCAAAATAAAGCTTTCTGTTTCTTTTTTCAGTACTCCTGATCTTAACCAGTTCCAAGTTAGTTTCTGGTCAGCTTTGCCTTCAATACTTTTCAAGTATTGGCCATGCAGAGCTTTGTGTTTCCAATTTTCAGCTCGCTGCTCAATTACTTCTTTCTTATATTCTGCTTTTGTTTTAGTTGTCTTTAAAAGGCCTCCTTTATTTACTTCCTTAATCATTGGTTCTTCACTTTTCTGGATGTAACCATTCAAGCTGCATTTTTCTTCTTCCACAGTCTGCTTTACTTGTAGGAGTCCTCGACCACCCTCTGCTCTTGGTAAATATAATCGGTCAACATCACTTTTAGGGTGCAAGGCATGATTCATTGTCATAAGCTTCCTTGTTTTTCTGTCCAAATTGTCTAGCTCCATCTGGGTCCAGTCAATTATTCCTGCAGAGTATCTAATCACAGGTATAGCCCAGGTATTTATGGCTTTTATGATGTTTCCTCCACTCAATTTGGACATTAATATCTTACGAATTCGTCGAATGTACTTGGCTGAAGTTAATTCCTTGACTTTATTATGCATTAAGTCAGAGGCTTCTAAAATCCCCAAGTACTTGTAGCCTTCTTCTGATTTTACTGCCTTTATCATTTCTTCATTCTCTAGTTCTATTCCATCCTCTTCTATGATCTTGCCTGCTTTGGTTGCTATTGTTGCACATTTGTCAATTCCAAACTGCATACCAATGTCTTGGCTGAATTCTTTTGTGTTTTCAATTAATAAATTCAGTTCAGCTTTTGTTTTACCAAACAGCTTCAAATTATTATTATTATTATTATTATTATTATTATTATTATTATTATTATTATTATTATTATTATTATTATTATTATTATTATTATTATTATTATTATTATTAACGGCATTGAAAAAGGTGACTTTTGACCACTGTTCACCCTTACGACCAGATCAGATGGTGATGGTGGAGAAATATCTGGACACAGGAGCAAAATGGCTGCCTCTTTCCTAAAGGACCATACAGGAGCCACCCCAATTCTTGTTCCTTTTAAAGGAAATAAATAAAAGTTATTCTTTTATAAATTGTAACATATATAATACCAAAGTGTGAGACGATCTGTCTGCAGTTTTCTGACTATGTAAAGTGACCACAAATGGTAATCAGTGGAGACAATGTATTATGACTTGCTAAGAGCTCCCCAGGAAACAGGAACTTAAGCCTTGGGCAAAAATCGCTATCACGAGACAGGAACATCGGGGGATGGACGGGAATTGTCAAGAAGGCACTTTAAAGTGTAAAACAACTTAAAGGATGACTTAAGAGAATAAGGGGGAGTTGGGAGGGCTTCTTGGGCATGGCGTGCATTGTGAAGGTGTATAAACTGTATAGCTTGAAAACTGCTTTTTGGCGCTCTTTGAACTCAATCCATTTGGGAAGGGTGTAAGAGGCTGCACTTGCAACCACTTTTCTTTTGTAGGAAGTTAGCACCCACCCCTTTCCTAGAAGAATGAAATATTTTAGGAAATATTAAAAAAGGCAGAATATTATGTTTTCCTGGTTGAAAAATGGAGAAACATGTTTTAAAGACAAAGCAACTCCCACTTTCCTGCCTCCCCCCCCCCTTTGTCAATGGGCCAGAGGCAGAAACTCAAACTTTGACAATAGGACCCATCCAGTGGTGGGAATTCTGGGGGTTCTAGGGGGTTCGGCCAAACCCTTTGTTAAATTGCTGGCTCGCCCCGCCCCTTGCCCCGCCCGTCCGCACTACTATTTATTCCCAATAAATGGGGCGAGCGAGCCAGCAATTTAACAAATGGTTCGGTGTTTTTTTGTAATTTATTGGCCCCCGCAGCACACCGAACCGTTTGTTAAATTGCTGGCTCACCCGCCCCTCGCCCCGCCCCGCCTCCCACCCGCGCGGCGCCAGCCTACCCGCCCCGCCTCCCACCCGCGCGACAGCCAGCTTGGCTGTCTCAGGAATTCTGGGAGTTGAAGGCCACAGGTTGTAAAAGAGCCACAATTGCCCACCCCTTCCCTAGCATGAGTTCCGCTGCCTGGGATCCACGTGGGCTGCCACGTGGTTCCCCACCGGCTCCGGACGCAAGAGAGCAGGATGGAGAAAGCAGCTTGCCGGAGAAAACGTGAACGGCTCCATGTGGTCTGCAAGTCAGTGGCTGCTGCTTCTGTCCCCTGCTGCTTCTTGCCTGGGAGAGAAAAACATTAACCAAAGGTAAAAGGGAAGCAGGGGGAGGGAGGAGAGAAGGAGAGAAAGAGGCTTTAATTTGCTTCACATCGGAGGCTGGAGGCTTTTTGTTTTCATTCGCTATGTGTTCCTCTTTCATGCAAAAAAAAAAGAAAGAAAGCCTGATCTGATCTGGAGCCGAATGTCATTAGAAGCAATGCTGTCAGCTTGGAGCATTTCATTTCAGTCTTCCAACTGGGCAATGAATTGAACCTCCTCCCCTAAAACAGATGCAATGTCGGTTGTTTGTTTGTTTTAGCAACGTGGATTGTTTTCCTAGGGCAGGGGTCTCCAACCTTGGCAACTTTAAGATTTGTGGACTTCAACTCCCAGAGTTCCTCAGCCAGCTTTGTTTTGCTTTGCTTTGCTGGCTGAGGATTTCTGGGAGTTGAAGTCCACAAGTCTAAAAGTTGCCAAGATTGGGGACCTCTGCCCTAGACCATTTTAGGAGCAAAGTAGTGGGTTTTGCTGGCATTTAAGGAGGAAATGAGGGAGGAAGAGAGAGAGAGAAAAAGAAAGAAAAAGAAAGAAAGGAAGGAGGGAAGAAAGGAAGGGAGAGAGAGAGAAAGAAAGAAAGGGAAAGAAAGAAGAGAAAGGAAGGAAGGAAGGACCACAAACCCTGGCACTAGACGTGGTTTCAGAAGATGCTTTGAAACAGGATAGCAATATAGGGCTGGAAGGGACCTTGGAGGCCATCTAGTCCAACCCCCTGCTCCAGCAGGAAACCTTATATCGTCTAGATTGTTTTGGTGCCTCCAACAGAGAGGAAAATTGCCAGACAGGAAAAGGAGTTTACTAGGACAAGGCTGCCATGCGGAGGAAGGCAGAGATAGTCCTTGACTTATGACCACAATTGAGCACAAAATTTTCGTTGCTAAACAAGAGCGTTGTTAAGTGAGTTTCACCACATTTTACTCAATCCATGACCTCTCCTGGCTCTAACAGTCATGTGCAAGCTAGATAGGGAAGAATATCTGAAGGTGTGTGTAATGTTCTAAATGTGTAGAAGTTATAGTTAAATGTGTGGCAGAAAGTGGATTCTGGGTGTGTTTTTCCAAATGTAGGCATGCCCACGCAGTCACATTACCCACAGAACCGGTAGTAAATGGACTACTCAGAGGGCTGAAAAGGTTATTTTTGACCGGTCCTCGCACTTTTGACCAGTCCTTGAACTTACGACTGTCCTCACATTTTACGTTTTGCGCCCTATCTTGTCACCGTGGTGAAGAGAAGTAGTGGTGAAATGACTGACACGGTTGTTAAGAATGCTGCACGGGCATAAATGTGAGGATGGTCATAAGTGTGAGGACCGGTCAAAAGTGCGAGGACCAGTCAGAAATGACTTTTTTCAGCCCTCTGAGTAGTCCCTATGCACATAGCCATGCCCACCCGGTCACATGACCAGCTAGCCACGCCTACAGTCACATGACCAGCTAGCCACGCCTACAGTCACATGACCAGCTAGCCACGCCTACAGTCACATGACCAGCTAGCCACGCCCACCCAGTCACATGATTGCCAAGCCACACCCCCAACTGTTAGTTATCACCTTTAAAGCGCTCCATGGCTTAGGACCTGGGTACCTACGAGACCGTCTTTTGCCACCAATAGCCTCCCACCGACCAGTTCGTTCTCACAGGGAGGGACTACTCAGGGTAGTGTCAGTCAAATTATGCCGACTGGCGACTCCCAGGGGGAGGGCCTTCTCTGTGGGGGCTCCAACCCTTTGGAATGAACTGCCCCCGGAGATACGGAATATCCCTGATCTCCGTGCTTTCCGCCGTGCCCTCAAGACCCTGATGTTTCAACAGGCAGGGCTAAACATACAAACATGTGAATGATTTTTTAAATGTTATCTAATTCTGGGTTTTATTTAATTGACCAAACTAAGTAATAATTTTAATTAGCAATTTTATGATGTTTGTGTGTCTATATTTTTCTTGACTGTACACCGCCTTGAGTCCTACGGGAGAAAGGCGGTATAGAAATATAATAAATAAATAAATAAATAAATAAATAAATAAATAAATAAATAAATAAATAAATAAACTAAGCCACGCCCACAGAACCTGTTGTTAAAAAAATTGAATCCCACCACTGGACCCATCTGCAACACAATAGCAACAGAAACTCATGGCACCTGGGAAGATTACATCAGCCAACAAGGCCAGCTAAGACCCTCACCCCCTGGGAGTCTGACAACCAATCAGGATACTCTTTCTGGGCCCCAGGAAGTTCAAAGCCAAAGAAGGCATAAAACCTGGGGACTCACTATATCTCGTCCCCTTTTCTGTTCAGGAACTCAAACCATGTGATCCTGTCCACCATTAAACCATCTTTCCAAGCAATCTCCATGTTTCCAGTGTCTTTTTCCCCATTTGGAGCAGAACCCAGAAGGATGTTTCTTCCAACGCCTTTTTTTTTTTTATTTTCATGTTTTTCTCCAATAAATCTTTGATTTTGTTAACCAGACTTGTCTTGGAGTTGTAAATATAAAATTTTGGGAATTTTAAATCTCACACTTCGAAGTGTTGCCTTAGTTCTTCCTCAAAGTGAAATTGGAATCTTTGAGCAACAAAGAGGGTAAAATCCCGCCTATTTCCAACCATCCAAAACAGGCAGCAAATTCAGGTGAGAAGAAAACAAAGCCATTTATTTTCAGCAAGCAATTTTGGTATTGTTGCAGTAGGCATGCAATGATTATGGGAGCAGAAGTCTTGAAGTGCAATCAATCTCGTGTTCCATTGTTCTGCATCATGAAAATCCACTAATGGCAATCTGGATAAAATCAGGGGTGGGGGAGGGAAAGCGTTTGCATGCTGCACTCAGTGTAATGATTATTTGCCACACTTGGATATAGTCAACTAACTGCAATTCTTATTTTTTTTAATTAAAATACATTAACTACTTTAATGACAGAAATCTCAGAATGCACTGTAAAAAATTATTGGATTTACTTATACAATAATATAAACATAATATCTACTAAACCCGATTTAAATCCTTTTGATTCCACAATTATAAACACATAAAGTGTTCTCCTCTGTTCCTCAATTATAATAAAAAAGGTTAGCACTCATGATAAATGTAATGATGATCTATCCTGGTTCCAGCATTTTGGGAGGGTCTAAAGCAGAGGTGGGTTTCAGCAGGTTCTGACCAGTTCTGGAGGACCGGTAGCGGAAATTTTGTGTAATTCAGAGAACCGGTAGTAAAAATTCTGATTGGCCCTGCCCTCATTTATTCTCTGCTTCCCGAGTCCCAGCTGATCAGGAGGAAATGAGGATTTTGCAGTAACCCTCCCCTGGAGTGGGGAGGGAATGGAGATTTTACAGTATCCTTCCCCTGGAGTGGGGTGGGAATGGAGATTTTACGGTATCCTTCCCATGCCACGCCCACCAAGCCACGCCCACAGAACCAGTAGTAAAAAATTTTGAAACCCACCACTGGTCTAAAGGGTTCCTCCTAAGAGTCTGCCCTAATTCAGAATAAGGTTGATTTCCTCTTCTTTTCTCTCTCCTTTGTTTTTTCAAGACAATATTTATTTTATTCAAAAGGTTAAAATACAAAATCCAGAAGAGAAAATCAACCACGCAGCCAAACAGAGACAGTACCCTCAACCAGACCCAGACCTGATGTAATCTTATCACAAGACCAATCACAAGATTCACTGATGACTCACAGCTGACCCATCACAAGATCCTCACTTGACATACCCACACCTGAAGCCCTTATTGTCAGGCCTGCCTCCGTTCAAAACCCAAGAAAAAGGAAAACCCTCAACTCCATTGAGATAGAGAAGAGGTACTTTTACTGAGTTTGGAATGAGAGCAGCAAAAGCAAGGCAAGATCTGATTCAAAACGTGCAAAAGTTACAGATTGAACGTTTCCCCAAATCCCTCCCCTCAGGGTCCCTTGCCGAGTGTCCAATCAACGTCCAGTATGATGTTGTGTGAAGCTCATCAACAGGTATTTCGCCAGTCTGGAATCCAGGACAGTTGGCCCTGACAGGGTGTAAACAACTCCCCTCAGCGGCCCAGTAATTCTTGAGAGCAAACCTCTCTTTCAGTTCACAATAGGACTTCACCTCACCAGCTCACTTCACCAACCCAAATGCCATGCCCCCCCACTCCCTGTTACTATGGCAGCCGATAGCAAGCATGCTGCAAATTCGAACCCCATGCTGGAGATCTGGCTGACACTTATAAACAGAAGACCACTGACATCCCCTAAACTCCGCTGAAAATGTTACCTATCCTGGTAATGGAACGTTTCAGAAACCAACCCACAAGCTCGGAGAACGAAACTTCACCCTCATCTTACACCTGAACTACAGATATTCGCCACTATTGCAAAACTTAATATACCCCCTAGTTGAATACTAGATTCCTCCCTTGCAAAGCAGGTCTGAAATTTATAAGCTTGTATATTTATTTGCAACCCTAATTGATCTATCGTACATTACATATATCAAAGAAGAAATTGTGAACAAATTAAACAACAGCCAAGTTAAATTCAACGAAGAAGTATGATATACTGTAGTTGCCATTAGCGAAACTTGGTGGGATGAAACTCATGGCTGGAATGTACTGATGGGAGGATATAAACCTTTCAAAAGAAATAGACCTAACAGGAGAGGAGGTAAAATTGCATTACATATAAGAGATAACTACATCTCTATAGAAATGCCCAAAACCAAGAATGAAAGCCTCCTAGAATGCATATGGGTCAATATAAAAGGGAAAAAGAATGTTGATCAATGTATATATGTATATGTGTTTATTTTTTACCTTTCCAGGTCCGTTCTTCTTTTGAGGGGGCAACATGTCAAAAGAGTGAAATATAGACAGCTCCGTGCCTCTCCATTTCAACTGGTCATTACAGTAAGGGAGGTGGGAGATGTTGACTATGAATGGGTCAATTTGGAGAAACCAAACCTCTGCCATTCCATAGGAGCTTGCAAGACTCTGAAAACTTCTCAAGGTCATATCAACAGGTGTGCACAAGAGGCCAGATGCTTCTCATAACAAATAGAACTTGGTTTACATGGTTTACGTGGAAGATTGGGGTTGAGCTGGGGCATTCATGGTTTAATATTGTGAACTGATGCCTTAGAATGTTATGATACTAAAAGGACCTACCGTGTTTTCCCCAAAATAAGACCTATCCAAAAATAAGACCTAGCTTGATTTTTACACGTGCACCCAAAGTAAGCCCTAGCCCCCCAAAGTAAGCCGTAGTTAAGATCCCGCCCACTCCATTGCACCTGGTTGCACGGGGTGGGGTGAGGCACATGGGTAAAAATCAAGATAGGGTGGAGATGGTGGTGGAGCTGCTTATCTTTGGACAGTTGCAGCCAGGCTTCACGCACGCCAATACCTGCTTCGCCTTCTTCTGTGGCTGCTTGCCACTGCTTGTGCGTGTTGCCCCCTGCCTCCATTTTGCTGTCAGAGACTTCAGGAAAGGCCTCTGCAGCTGAGAAACGAGCTCCGTACTGATGCATACAGCGCCTCCGACTTCTATATCACTATCAGAGGCACTGTCAGATCTCCTTTCTCAGCTGCAGAGGCCTTTCCTGAAGGCCTCTGACAGCGAAACAGAGGCTGGGGGCATTGTGCGCGAGCGATGGCAAGCAGCCGCAGAAGAAGTGGGCCGTCAGTGACTACACAGGCTCCTGCTGGGTGGGGTTGTTGTGCCACTGCCGCGAGGTGAGACAGTAGAAGACATCCCCCCAAAATAAGACCTGGTGCCTCTTTTGGAGGCAAGAAAAATATAAGACCGGGTCTTATTTTTGGGGAATTTTCCCCATAAAAAATAAAAAGGTAGTTTATCAAGGCTCTTCTTTAAAAAAAAAAAAAACCTAGAAAGGGCAAAAATATATAATGTAATCCTATGTAAATGTAAATTTAAGGTTGTAAAATTACAGCAAGGGATTATATAGTAGGTCAGAATCAACTAGTCATAAATCAAAAGATTGTAAAATGTACGGCTTCATAAAGTGCAATTAAAACCCAGGCATGCTTAAGAAAGATAAGCAGCTGAAGGGAAAAGGCAAGAGATTAATGTTCATTAATAGCTCTTTGCGGGCATCCAGACCCCACCACCCCCTGAAGGAGTTCAGTTAATGATCATCCGAAATTCATCTTGGGTCCTTCCTAGTCTCTCGTTCATAAAACCAGGAGCAAAGCGACCAAATAAACAGCTTGGTGGCAAAATCAGCTGTTCATCAGCGGGAGAAAAAGAATCCCTGGCCATTCAACATGCCATCTTGAGGGAAGAGTCCTTTCCTCTCTCCTTATGCTGAATGGTGCACTTGTGCTGCAAAGAGGAGGGAAAAAGCAGGAAGGGTCAGTCTAGGAGGAAGCCAAGAGGAGGAATCACACAGTCCAGGCTGAGGGATCAGCAAAGATCAGCCCAGGGAAGGAATAGAAGCAGCAACCTCAAGAGAGGGATCAGCTGGGTGGAATTTTCCAAAATACAAGAGGGAGAAGCAAGGCTGGGACTGGCTCCTGAGGTGGGTGAGAATCTGCCTAACATGTATGGATGCGTGCCCTCAAGTACACAAATCCAATTCAACTCCCGGTTGCCTCCAGAAACAAGTGCAAATAGATTCATGGCCTCCAGAGAGTCTAGGTCTTCCTTCAGCATCTGGAGGGTGGGATTCTCAGATGGACTTGAGGAGGGAGAAGCCCCCACTCCATCCATGATTGTAGGACCCCTCAAGAAGTTCTTCATCTGCCCCTCCCTATCCCTTACACTGGGGACACTCCGATCTCCTCTCTCCAGTTCTCTGAGCCTCCTCATCCAGTCATATCTTGAGAAGTGCCACAATCTGGCCTTGCAGAATCAGAGTTTGGGGGCAGGCAGACCCCTCCCCACAGCCCCTCTGAATATCCCCCAAATTCCTTACCTTGCAGTGTTTGAGATAAATAGGAGAGAGAAGAGGGATTTCCCAAAGTATCTTCACCATCAGTTGGTCCTTGGACCTCAAAGCCCTCGTTTTCCTCCCTTCCTCCTCCCCACACAGACCCCAGTGGGGCCACTCACCTGCAAGAGGGCTGCTAAATGGCCATGTTCCTTCCTGCATTGGAGAGAAAGACACAGAGTGAGTCTCTACTTTGACCTGGTCCTGTGATGAGGTCTCTTTCTCTTCACCAGCTTCATGGATCTCTAAAAGGAGACCAAGCCATGTGACCAAAACAGGTCTCTTAACTGTTAGGGCTCATGGCATTTCTGGTGGTTTCCTTATTTCCCATTCCGGGACTAAAGGGCTCTTTGCTCCAAAGCAAGCGCCATGTAAGCTCTTAGGCTGCCTTCCCTGTTTGAAGGAAGGAAGTTGGAAATCCAACAGGGAGAGTTTCCCTTTCTCCTCTGCAGGAACAAACCAGTGCAAAGAAAGTGTATTCTGTAACTTTGTTAGAAATCAAGGAAAAGAGAGGTGGTGATAATAAAGAGAAGCACTTGATTTTGTACAGAGTAAAGGGGAAAAGAGAAAAAAGTGAGAACAAAATTATCAGAATTGAAGGGAAAATGGAGACTTTGCTAAACAGAAGAACACCGACACTGACATTTTCCGTAAACTCCGCTAAAGATGTTATCTAGCCCGGGAATGAAACCCACAAGCTCAGAGAACCAACCTTCACCCTCACTTATCCCTAGGGCAGTGATAGCTAACCTTTTTGCCGTTGCGTGCCAAAAGCGGGGGAAGCATGGGGGGGTCGCACGTGTGTGTGTCCACACCCATAATTCAATGCCCCCGTGCCCCTCCGCTCATGCGGGTGAGGACCCCCCCGCACTCCCCCTTTTGGCATGTGATGGCAAAAAGATTACCGGTGGACCTGAACAGCCTGTTTTTCGCCCTCCCCAGGCTCCAGAGGCTTTCTTGGAGCCTGTGGAGGGTGAAAACAGCCTTCCCCACCACCCAGAGGCCCTCCGGAGGCCAGAAACGGCCTGTTTCCTAAATTCCGGTGGGGCCGGAAGGCCCGAAAATTAGCTGGCCAGCGTGCACATGCGCGCTGGAGCTCAGTAGAGCAATGCTTGTGTGCCCACAGATATGGCTCTGCTTGCCACCTGTTGCACGCATGCCATAGGTTCGCCATCACGGCCCTAGAGATAAGCAAAAAACAAAAACAGGATTTTCTCCATTTCCCTGTTCAATGAGGAACCTTTACTCCAATCTTATACTATTCATATGCTGATGTAAATGTTAATCCTTCATGAACAATTGTCCTCCAAGTAAACAGAGGGAACCCCCCCACACACACACAATTTCCCCATTGACATAATCTCTTAATTATATTGGGTGGAAAAATGTGAGGAGTGACCATACCAATTTAAGACTCAATCTCAATAGATTTATAAATCCTTTGTTCCGGTCCTGTCTGAATAAATCCTGGTGTCACTAGAACCACTCATAGAAGGAACACATGGAGGATGCTAAAGAGCCTTGGCGGCGCAGCGGATTAAAGTGCTGTTAAGTAGCACCAGCTGCCTGCAATTACTGCAAGTTCGAATCTCACCAGGCTCAAGGTTGACTCAGCCTTCCATCCTTTCGAGGTAGGTAAAATGAGGACCCGGTTTGTGGGGGCAATGAGCTGACTTTGTATAAAAAAGAACACCGCTGGTGGGGGGGCAAAAGCCCTACTAAGCAGGTATATTACAAAAGTATGAAGGCTATTGCTTAACGCATTGTAAGCCGCCCTGAGTCTCCGGAGAAACGATGGCATATAAATCGAACCAATAAATAAATAAATAAATATTAGGAGACCCTCTATAAAAAGGGGGGCTCTCTTTTTTCAACCTCCCCCTTCTCTGCCAAAATATCTTGCTAAGAAACAGAATAGCTGTCAGTCCTGAAGCCATTTTTTAAGATGGAGCCATTTTGGGAGCATCTTCCGGGGCTGCCACAGCCAGGCCGGTTGGAGCTGTGAGAACCTAAGGGGAGGAGGGAGAGACAGAGACAGCTGGGGATGTGTAGCCAAAACAACATTCTTTCCCGTGGGAGCCAAGGACGTTCTACCATGTGTTGGAGAGGCGTGGACCGAAGCCAGCCAAGATGGTGGCTGCAACTTGGTTGGACCATGTGATGGACATGTGACCTAAGGGGAAGAACTTTGGGTTTTGATTCAGGTGGGAAAAACCTCAGGTCCTCCAGAGTCGGGTTTCCCCCAGATGACATGCCTAATAAATCTATACTTTGAGGAATATGCCTGCCTTGGAGTTTTGATTCCATTGGGTGTGTTAACTGGAACCCCGACAATAGCTCTTGTTTATTCAGAAGCAACTCCCTCTGACTTACCCCAGTCTGAACTGTTGGATCCTTTGTCACTTGCTGGAAAAGAAAGAAAAGAAAATGGGAGGTAAGTCTCTTGGCTGACAGAAGGAGATGGAGAAACTCAAATCTGACTCAAGCTGCTGCTCTCGTCTGTCTCTTACACAGAGAGAGGGAGGGAGAAAGAGGGAGGGAGGGAGAAAGGGAAAGGGAGAGGGAGAGGGAGAGGGAGAGAGAGGGAAGGAGAGATGGAGGGAGGGAGAGACCCAAAAATGCGTTCAAAAGGATTGAATCAAGCTGCTTTAGCTAAGAGACATAAGAAAGAATCCTTAATATGTATACACATATATTGGGTATGTTAACTGGAACCCTGACAATAGCTATTGTTTATTCAGGAGCAACTCCCTCTGACTTACCCCAGTCCGAACTGTTGGATCCTTTGTCACTTTCTGGAAAAGCAAGAAAAGAAAATGGGAGGTAAGTCTCTTGGCTGACGGAAGGAGATGGAGAAACACAAATCTGACTTAAGCTGCTGCTCTCTGTCTGTCTCTTACACACAGAGAGGGAGGGAGAGAGGGTGGGAGGGAGAGAGAGAGAGATAGAGAGGGAGGGAGGGAGAGAGAGAGAGAGAGAGGGAGGGAGGGAGAGAGAGAGAGATAGAGGGAGGGAGAGAGAGAGAGATAGAGAGGGAGGGAGGGAGGGAGGGAGAGAGATAGAGAGGGAGGGAGGGAGAGAGATAGAGAGGGAGGGAGGGAGAGAGAGATAGAGAGGGAGGGAGAGAGGGCGGGAGGGAGATAGAGAGAGAGAGGGAGGGAGGGAGAGACCCACAAATGCATTCAAAAGGATTGAATCAAGCTGCTGTTGTGGTCCTCAACCTACAACAATTCATTTAGTGACCATTCGAAGTTGCAACATCACGTATAAAAAGTGACTTATGACCATTTTTCACACTTGAAAACTTGAACCACGATAGCAGCCTCATAGTCACATGATCAAAATTCAGATGCTTGGCAACAGTCACATTTATGAAGGTTGCAGTGTCCCAGGGTCATGTGATCCCCTTTTGCAACCTTCGGGCAAGCAAAGTCAATGGGGAATCCAGTCTCGGCTCTTCTGATCTGCGTCTGGGCAGTCCTTCATCGAGACACCAAATGAAACACAAGTTTGGGAGTCAACGCTTTAATCCGCAACAACCGGGCATCAGGAAAAACCAAGCACAACTTTACAAAGTCAGCGCTGAGCGTTGCGACTCAGCAGCGCCTTTTGAATAAACCGCACCGACCGCACCCACGCCTCACCCACATTCGTGCTTCTCAGCTGATCCTGGTTTCGGATGGTTGCAGCGGGCGTTGGATCGCTCCGCTTCTTCCGCGTTCGTCATCGTAGTTTCGGAGACGTGACTCCCCTGACATGTTAACCTGTTCCGCAGCCTAAACGCGACTCGTAGTGACCACCATCACCAGTAATTGAACGTACCTGTCACCACCTCTAACCCGAGTAATGTGTAAACATCTCTCTCTCTAACATGGCTGCGAAAGACGCTTTTGAATGCCTCTCCCTCCAGCAAGTATGTCGAGCTGCAATCAGGCTTGACATCCAGATTCAATTAACATGTTACTAATTTAACAAGTGCAACGATTCACTCAGCACCTATGGCAAGTTGTAAGGTGGGACAAAACTCACTGAACAAGTGTCTCACTTACCCACAGAAATTTGGGGCTCAATTGTGGTCTTAAGTCGAGAACTACCTGTATAACAGTTCATTAATTCTTCAGCCAGAGGGCACAGTTGACATGAATACATGTTACGATATTGAATTTAGCAATAGCAATAGAACTTAGACTTACTGTATATACCACTTCATAGTGCTTTACAGTCCTCTCCAAGCGGTTCACGGAGTTGCCACCAACAATCTGGGTCCTCATTTTACCAACCTCAGAAGGATGGAAGGCTGAGTCAACCTTGAGCCAGTGAAACTCAAACTGCCAAACTCCAGGCAGCCAGCAGGCAGCAGAAGTAGTCTGCAGTACTGCATTCTCACCACTGCACCACCATGGCTCTTAAATCAGTGATGGCTAACGTTTTCCGGACCGAGTGCCCAAACCGCGCAAGCGTGCTTGAACCCCCAAAATGCAATGCATGCGCAACCCCCGCACACAGCCCCCGCGCATGCATGCATGACCCCCCTCCACATCCTGCCTTCAGGCCATGTGTGGCAGAGACCCTAAACCAGTTGGCTGGCAGAAGGCGCCCACACATGCGCGGCAGAGCTGAACTGGGCCATCACGGTCTTAAATGATTAAAGCCTATACAGCAACACTGGTTAGGAATTAAAATAATATGTTATTTAAAGCAGGAGTCCCTAAACCCCTGGGCCGTGGCCCAGTACCGGGACTCCATCCTTTCAGGATCTGGCTGCAGAAGTGGCGTGCGAGCCACACGCGTGAGCAATGGGCGAACACTGTCATGTGTGCTTGCAGCTGCGTGCATGCATGCTTGCCCACTCCATGTGGGGAACCATCCCCTCCCTCCCTCGCTGGCCCGCAAAACTAATGTAAAACGAACCATGGATTTGAGATTGCATTTACAATCATCAAGTGAATTGGGATTGGAAACGTATTGTAGACAGTGATTGGACTAATGATATACAAGATAGCACATTAGCGTCACGATTTGTTTTAATGTGTGCAATGTTTAGCCGGAACTCCAACAAGTTGGTTGAAAATGTAGAAAAAAACTTCAGTTGCCATTTCCACAGCTCGAGCAAAATCCGAAACATAATCAGAATAGTGTTCAGAGATAACATGGTATATACCAGTGATGGCGAACCTTTTTTTGGCACTGAGTGGAGAGGAACATGTGTGCATATGCGCGTGTCGGAGTGCTGGAAACCAGAAGACCAGCTGGCCGGTTTTCAGGTTGTTTTTTGGCTGTTTTTCAGGCCATTTTCAAGCAGTTTTTCAGGCCATTTTCAAGCTGGTTTTCAGGGCCATTTTTCAGGCCAAAAATGGCCTGAAAACGGCCTGAAAAATAGCCTGAAAACCAGCCTGAAAACGGCTGAAAACCGGCCTGGAAACCGCCTGGAAAAAGGCCTGAAAAAGGCCTGAAAAATAGCCTGAAAATCAGCTTGAAAACGGCTGGAAACCGGCCTGGAAACCGCCTGGAAAAAGGCCTGAAAAATGGCCTGAAAAATAGCCTGAAAACCAGCCTGAAAACGGCTGAAAACCGGCCTGAAAACCGCCTGGAAAAAGGCCTGAAAAATAGCCTGAAAACCAGCCTGAAAACGGCTGAAAACCGGCCTGGAAACCGCCTGGAAAAAGGCCTGAAAAATAGCCTGAAAATCAGCCTGAAAACCAGCCTGAAAACGGCTGAAAACCGGCCTGAAAACCGCCTGGAAAATGGCCTGGAAAAAGGCCTGAAAATGGCCTGTTTTCCGACACACCAACACTCGTGAAGATTGTATGCCATCTCTGTATGCCACCTCTGGCATGCGTGACATAGGTTCGCCATCACGGGTGTTAGGATATGGTTTGAGCCTAACTAGTTGTCCAGGCAATATAAGTGTTCTGTAACTTTAATCTGTAAATGTATTATGTGACTTTAAGGTTTTCTTGCTGAGTCATGCTGTAATTAGGTAATCACTGGTTGTGAGGGTATTTAAGCAAGGTATTGTAACGTGTTCAGTTGCTGCTATGCTATGCTGCCATTGTGTATGAAGCTGATGTGATATGCTACCAGAGTATGATAAGCTACCATATTGTGAGGAGTGCTATCCATCGTGCTCTCATCGTTGGACGGATCTGCAACCATCGTGGTTTGTGAACCAGAGTGAGTTTGTTATTCTAACCAACTACCGTTTGTGTGGTAAGAAGATTTTTGTATCATTGGACTGATTTAACTGGCAAAGACTTGGATTGATTTAAAGACTATGAGATTGTTTTTTTCTACTATAAAGTAAGCTTTTGATAAACCAATTTGCACATCTCTTATTCATTGCTCTCAGCAACGTTTCTCTGTGCTCTACACTCTGCTGGTTGGTAACACAACAACAATATCCTTAACAACGGGTATATACAATTGTTAAAGGATCTGGATATTGAAGTGAAAGGAGCTATGCCAGTATTTGAAGATAATACAACATGTATACAACGGCAACAGGAGAGAGAGAATAAAAACCAGAAGCAAGCACATTGACATAAAATATTGTCATGTCAGAGAAGCAGCGAAAGAAAATACAATAGACCTAATTTATTGTCCATCAGAAATTAATTTAGTTGACCTCATGACAAAGCCATTAAGTATACAAAAACATGAGGTTCTTAATAAAACAACTTGGTTTAAATGCTGTCCAGCTATAAATTGGAGGGGTGCTAAGATATTGGATTTAATAAATGGATAGGCCAGAACACACAGTTGTAGTGGTTAGAAAGTGCTGACTCCTGCATGAGGCAATCTACGCTATGATTGGCTGCCATAAGTATAAAGGAGGAGTTTCCCCCTTTTTCCCTCCTTTTTTTCTTCTCTTGTCTTCTGTATACTTTTTTTTTTTTTTTAATTTGATTTATATGCCGCCCTTCTCCGGAGACTCAGGGCGGCTTACAATGCGTTAAGCAATAGCCTTCATACTTTTGTATATTTATACAAAGTCAGCTTATTGCCCCCACAAACTGGGTCCTCAATTTACCTACCTTAGAAAGGATGGAAGGCTGAGTCAACCTTGAGCCTTGGAGAGATTCGAACCAGCAGTAATTGCAGGCAGCTGTGTTAATGACAGGGTGCTTAGACCACTGTGCTATCAAGGCTCCTGTTTTAATTTGCCTCATGATATTCCTGTGTCCCTCACTATCTTGCCTTTTTTTTCTTTCTGGATGATGACAAAGACTGCTGTAAATTTGAATCATAAATATTTTTATTTATATAAAAAAATACACACTTGTCTCAGTGTTAATGACTTCATCTGAATAGGTACTATGCAATTCCTTGACAATACAGCTGGCTCCAATGTTACTTTTTCCAATCAGTTCATACTTAGAGAGCCTTTTTGGTGGGAGACCAAGAGGAGATCTAGCTGGCATCCACCAAGGCTCCTTTTCTCTCAAAATGCCTCTTTTTGATCAGTACTTTTACGGAGCTTCCTGATCGTGTTATGGCCAACCCTTTCCTTTCTGCCTGCTTGGAAAACAAGAGCAACTTGAGGAAGGGGCGTGGCCGGCATCAGGCGATACGGTGTGGATTCCGAGACTCCAGGAGAACACTGAAATCCTAGCTGATTTTGGGGATCCCCAGGGATCATAGCTGTCTTGTGGAGAGCGAAGAAAGAAGACACTGGCTGGCACAGATAGGGAATGAGCAAGTTCCCTGAAATGCCGGCATTAGTCTTTGACCCGTTGGCGAAGGAAGGCAGCCATTAAGGAGCTGTCACAAACCAGAACGGCCACGATCAGAAAGAGGGAATGTTGGAGTGGTAATTGAATGGAGTATTGTTACCAGGTGAGTAATTGGCCAACTTTCTGGATCGGGACTCCTTGTGCACGGTCACTCATGCCCTCGTCACGTCACGCCTGAACTACTGCAACGCTCTTACGTGGGGCTCCCCTTGAGGAGCACCCGGAGGCTCCAGCTGGTGCAGAATGCAGCCGCGCGGGTGATTATGGGAGCGACGTGGTGCTCCCATGTAACACCTCTCCTGCGCGAGCTGCATTGGCTCCCGGTGGTCTTCCGGGTGCGCTTTAAGGTATTGGTTCTCATCTTTAAAGCGCTCCATGGCTTAGGGCCAGGATATTTGCAAGATTGCTTGCTGCTACTGATAACCTCCCACTGGCCAATACGCTCTCACAGACAGGGCCTCCTCAGGGTGCCATCGGTCAGGCAATGTCGGCTGGCGGCCCCCAGGGGGAGAACCTTCTCTGTGGGGGCACCCACCCTGTGGAACGAGCTGCCTCCTGGAATACGACTGATCCTGGACCTCCGGACCTTCCGTAAGGCCCTGAAGACTTATTTATTCCACCAAGCCGGCCTAGCCTAAATGGTTCTTAATTGGGATTTTAAATTTTATAGACTTGGGGGTTTTAAATTGGGAAGCCAATGATTTAATTCTTTTTAATTATCTTAACTTTGTATTGTATTTATTTTTAATTTTGGCTGTTCACCACCCCGAGTCCCTTCTGGGAGAAGGGCGGTATACAAATTAAATAAATAAATAAATAAATAAATAAAAGGAAAAAAAAGTCTTTGAGTGCTTGAAAAAATTGTAGCAGAAGTTTGGAGGCTAATTGGCACAGAAGGACTAAAGTGGAGAGGAAAAAAAAGCCGGAACTTTAAAAATCAAACCTAAAGCCCTGAAAAAAAAAATCTTCCATTCGGATTTAAAACTGGATTTGGAAGGAAAAAATAAGACAAGGAAAAGAAGATAGAAAAACATTTTAAACAGTAGAAGAATTTAATGTGGAAAAGAAAAAGTGAATGCTTTTGTGTATTACAAGATGGCCACTTTGTTATGCAAAGGATTGTGAATCATAGAAAGACAGCTGCTGGCGGAGAGTGTGAGAAAGAGGTGTGAGAGTATTCATACAGTTCTACCAAGATAAGAGAACAAAGGACAAAGACTGAAACGGTGCTGGCTCAAGTAAAGATCTGGACATTATTTAAAGGGGGGGAAAAAGAACACTATGGACTTGGAAATTTGAAATATATGTAAAGGAAAAGAATAAATTTAAAAATCTCAGTCTTTTAAATTGAAAATATGGAGAATTGGGAGGAGGAATAGGAGACATTGAGGAAGATGTTTCAAAAAATAAGAGAAGCATTTAAGGGAAACAAAGAAGCAGAGGATTGGTTAGAATGCAAAAAAAAGAAAGAACTGAAGAATGAGAAACAAAAGAAACAAAGAGATAATATTGGAGAAAAAATAATTGAAAATAAAGAAAAAGATGATTACACTGGGTTTAGCAGTAACAGAAGAAGAATGGATAAGGGAAAATACATCTCCAATTAGAAAAGAAGATAAATAAATGGGGAAAGGTTGAGAAAGAAAATGAATAGAGTTAAAATTAAAGGAAAGAGGCTGAGTGGGAGATACAAGAAAAGGAAAAAGAGGAAGAAGGTAAGGGAATGGGAACTAAGAAATGGAATTGTGGAGAGACGAAGGGAAAATGGTTAAGAGTCAGTGAAAATGTTAATTTGTTAATAAAGAGAATGATGTCAGTGGCAGAAATTATAAGTGAAAATGTTGTTAAATGAAACAGACCAGTAGGTGCAATGTGAAAGAAAGAATGATTTGGAGAAAGTATTAAATGGAGAGAAATAAGTAACATAAGCATTAATTGAAATTATGATGGAAAACTGAAGTTGAATATAAAATTGAATGAAATTGACATGTTAAAAAATGATTTAAGTGTTATACTTGCAAGAAGTAAAGAAGAAAAAACATATTGTTAAAAGTAAAGAAGATAAAGGATTGGAAGATTGTTTGGGTAAAATTTTAAAGGGAAAAATAAAATGAAATGAAATATACTGTTTATAATTAAAAAGATAAGAGGAATTTTGTGAAATATACTTGATAAATGAAAGATCGGGGTTATCTGGACACCATAGTGGAAAATATTAAATTGAAGATGAATACAGCAATAGAGAGAGATGAGGAGAAGAGAGGTAGAACGGAAGAGGAAGGAGAGAGGGGGAAGGAAGAGTAGGGAAGAAGGAAGAGAAGGGAAATTAAAGTAGGAGAGTGGAAGAGAGGGGGGAAGAGAGGAGGAGAAGGAGAAGGGGAGGGGAAGTAGATAAGAGAAGAAGAGGAGGGAAAGAGAAAGTAGGAAAGAAAGAAAAGAGGGAAATGGTAGATTGGAGGAGAAAGATTGCTGTACAATAAAAAAGATGAAATGGAAGAAAGGCAATCCCGAACAAACACAAATATATTAAGATAAAGAATGAATTGTTAAAGAATAAAAGAGAATAAATACGAATAAGCAGGAAAATTAGAATTTGAATTTAAAACAAAATCGATTGGATAAATTACTGGAATCTAAAGAAGGGAAATTAATTTCAAAAATTTATAAATATTTACTTGAATACGATTTGGCAGAAGAATTGGTCAAAGGGCAGATGATAGCCTGGGCGAGGAACATAGGGCACAATATACAACTGGAAGATTGGGAAAGAGCATGGGAAGATAATTATAGCATGACAAAATCGGTAGCCTACAAAGAAAATCATTATAAAATGTGGTACCCAAATGTGAATCCGGCTTGTTGGAAATGTAAAAAAACGCAGGGAACTTTTTACCATGCTTGGTGGCTTTGCCCAGAAATTAAGAAATATTGGAACAAAATAAAAACATGGATATTAGAAATAACAAATTATGAAATTGAATTAACACCCGAAGTCTTTTTACTAGGCATGATTAATAAGAATATTAGAAAGGACACAAAATACTTAATACTCCACATTATAACGGCGGCTAGATTAGCGTTGGCACAACTCTGGAAAATAGATCGTTTGCCAACTGATCAGGAAGTAATACAAAAAATCTATATATGCGCAGAGATGGATAAATTAACCTTAGAATTACAGGATAAGGAAAACTCAAAATACTTTAAAATATGGAATAGCTGGTACCAGTGGATAAGTCAGAGGAGGGGGAATGGTTAGAGATGAAATTCAGGAGAAATCAATGTAAATAAACAAGTGCACTGTCAGAGAGATATAGAAGGAAATAAGTCACTGTGCGTATGTATATATGTATATATAACATTAGAAAGTAGTCAATAGATGAAGTTGAGCACTATATATGTACTGTATATGTATATGTAATTTGTATGTTTGATTAAGAGAAACTTGTTAGTTTTTCTTATATTTGTTTTAAATGTTTTTTTTTAAATACGAATAAAGTTTGTTTTTAAAACTAAAAAAAAAAGAATTTGAGGGTGAATGAAGATGTTGTTTATATAAGCAAGCAAAGAAATATTGAGATATGATTAAAAAAAGGGAAAAAAGAAAATTGTGGCAAAAATTGTAACTGAGTAAAATGTATTTGAATTTGATAAATTGTATAAGATATGGCCAATACTCTGTTCAAAAAAGATGTGGGTGAATGTGGGGGGGGGAGGGACAAATAAAACTTGATTTAAAAAAAAAAGAAAAGAAAAGAAGTGTTTAAAATTCTTTTAAATCGAAATTTTAATCTGTTTTAAATTATTGGGATTTTTTAATTGTCTCGGGCTAAATTATTTAATCTGGTTTTAATTATGTCTTTTAACTTTTGTATCTATGTATTTTATTTTGTGCCTATTCACCGCCCTGAGTCCTTCAGGAGTAGGGCGGTATATAAATCTAATAAAACAAAACATAAAACAAAACAAACAAAGAAAACAAGAGCAATTTCTCAATCGGAGGGATTTTCAACTCAGCCGGGTCTCCTCACTGTTTCGAGTGTTTTTCTTATCAGATGTTTCTTCTCTGGGTTTCCGTTCACAGGAACAACCCAGCCCATCCTCCTCATCTTCTCGGTCCTCTGCAGCGCTATAAGCTGCTCAGGACATTTGGATTCACAGGAAGATATATACACTCCTCAACTGATGGAGCCTCTCATCCCTACTCTGAGTGGGAGTTAATATGTCAAGTGGAAAAAAACCACTCACTTCTTGCTGCATTGTAGCCATCCTCACGTTTTTCTGCAAGGAAAAAAAACAATCCGTGAAAAAAAACAATCCGGCAGAGATCATTCAATCTCTCCCTCTGCAGGGGAAAAGCCCCAAGAGAGGTCTTCACAGTTGCTGAGTCACAACCTCTCGTAGCAATAAATAAGACACAGAAAGATCTACAGCAGGGGTGTCATCGTGTCGTCACGTCGTGGTCACGTGATGTATTGTGACTTCCCCCCCCCCTTTGCTAAACTGGAGGCGGGCATGGCCAGCGCGTGACGCATCCACAAGTTTGACACCCCTGATCTACAGACTACAAACATCTGATTTCCCCCTGCCCCCTGCCCCCGGGAGAGAGACCTGCTGCCTCTGAGATGGAGGAGAAATGGGGGAAGCGAAAGCACCCAATTTTCATTGGAATCTTTATCTGCTGCCCTTTGACTAAAGCTTTTGAATAAGACAGAACTGTGATGCCCCTTCGCAGCTCAGAAGAAGACAGGGAATAACAACCGCCTGCTCAAGCAGAAGACCTTATATAGGGGTGGGCTGCTGGGGGTTCGCAAGCGTTCGGGAGAACCTCTAGCTAAGATTCTGTGCAGTTCGGAGAACCCCCAAATCCCACTCCTGGCTGGCCCCGCCCACCCCACCACGCCCCTCCCAGGAGTCCCCACACAGCCTGTTTTGGATGCAGGTAAGTGCAGGGCATACGTGGAGGCAAGGGGAGGGCAAAAAACGGGCCTACCGGAAGTTTGGGAAGGCCGGAAACGGCCTGGGGAGGCCGTTTCTCCCTCCCAGAGGCTTGAGGAAAAGCCTCCGGAGCCCGGGAAGGGCAACCCCCCTCCTCCCCGTGCCGTGCTGCAGGAGGCCGACTAGGCCACGTCCACCCAGCAACCAGGCAGAGAACCCCTTGCTAAAATTTTTGATGCCCATCCCTGACTTTATACCATTTTAGACAAATGGTTGTCCAGTCCCTTCTCTGGTGTTGGAGCATCCACAACTTCTGAAGGCAAGAAAACAGAAGGAAGCCCAGAAAAAGCCCCTCCCCCCCCAAAGGGAAAGATTTGAGAAGAATCTCCCTATTTTCCTTCAATCACCCAAAAAAAAAAGATACTTACTGAAGAATACCAGGAGGATCACAGCAATCACACCCACCAGGACAAGAGCAGCCATAATGCCGACAATGATGAGCCCCAAGTTGGCTTTTGAATTGGTTAATTCTGAATTGAGAGAAAGAGCAGATAATTGAAGGAGAACCCCAATTAAAGGAGAAACTTAATGCAGCCCAAGGACTGGAAATTCCCAAAATTAGTAAGTCTAAGGGTTTCATGTCCCTCTAACTGTAGCATGAAGACCCCTTGCTAGAAGACATGTCCTCGTGATGCTGCCTTCTTCTCATACCAGCCCAGCATGAAGGCAGCCGATATCCCTCTTTAGTTGTTTAGCTCAAAAACAGCAATTTGCAATTTTGTGACTCTCAGCACTTTATAGAAACAAACACTTCAACAACACAATCATGTATCTATATCTATCTCATCTCTATCTCTCTATCATCTGTCTGTCTCTGTGTCTATCTATCATCTATCTATCATCTATATATCACTCTATCTATCATCTATATATCACTCTATCTATCAATCTATCTATCTATCTTCCATCCATCCATCCATCCATCCATCCATCCATCCATCCATCCATCCATCTATTATCTATCATCTATCCAATCAAGCCTCGGGTTGCCCACAACTGAGCCTCTCACCCTTCATAGCCATGTCCAGAGGCTCCTGCAGGCTGTCATGCTCCACGTGGCACCGATAGCGGTCTCTCTCTTTGGGATCGATCTGGATGCTGAGCCAGTAGTGGTAGGTCCCATCCGCATTGGGGGCCACAGACCCATGGAGGGTGTCCTGCAGCCAGACCTCCCCGTCCCTCTTCCAGGAGGCATCAATCTCCCTGGGGTAGAAGCCATGGACTCGGCAGACGTGCGTCTCCATCCCATCCTCAGCCTCCGTCCTGCTGCTCATTGTCACTACTGGGGACTCTGCAGAAAAGATACCACCAGAATTAACACTGAATTTCCACACCAGCTGATTGAAGAAATAAATTCGTCTTTGATTTGTGTCTTTTTCCAGAACTGCCTGGAAAATGTACACAATTTTAGCAAAGAAAAAAAAAACAGAGCTGCTGTAAGGTCCAGCCTCTCTCCCTTATTCAAGAAAGTAAAGATTCTTGAAACTTTGTATTTCAAAAGGAACGTTTTATTGAAAAGAGGTGAAAGCAGGACAGAATCAAAGCAGGCTCTGAAGTCCCTCAGGGCATACAACTAGGATAAAGGAAATTAGAAACCCTTCCCAACAATCTGGATGTGGATTCAGCCAATCTGCAGATGTGAAGATGTTATTGTACCAGCCACTCTGAGAAAGAGATAAGAGAACTTTCTCAGGGCCATCTTCCGGGCATTGCAGTCCACATGGCTCACCCTCCCCTTACATTCCCCAAGAGCAGGGGTGAAATCCAGCAGGTTCTGGAGAACTGGTAGCGGAAATTTCGAGTAGTTCAGAGAACTGGCAAATACCACCGGCTGGCCCCAGAGTGGGGAGGGAATGAAGATTTTGCAGTATCCTTCCCCTGCCACGCCCACCAAGCCACACCACGCCCACAGAACCAGTAGTAAAAACAAATTGAATTTCACCACTGCCCAAGAAGTGAGAAATTTGCAGGCATCTAAGGTGCCAGGCAACGGTTATAAACCAGGTGAAAGGTTACACTAAAAGACAAGGCAAGAAATAGGATACATAGAAAGAAAAGAGAAACTAAATGTGTCAAAATCCAAACTTCCCCCTCTTTCTCACCCCTTGCTTGAAATATTGGCCGCACCAGCACTCTAGGCATCTCTTCGCCTTTGGAACTGAAATGCTACAAAGTGCTACCCTGTGATTAAGGAGCAGAGGTTTAACACTTGAGTGCAAGATCTTCGTAAAAGCTGCCTAGAAGTAGGGTTTGGGGAAGAGGCTGGGGAAGAGGCTGGGAAAGGAAAGAGATGGCAAGTGAGCAACTTAGCAGATTTTCTTTGTAAGTTTGGTCTGCAACCCTAAAGGTGCTTTTTCCCAAGAGGCAACTGGACTTTCTTATTTTTCTTTCAAGACGTTTCTGTTGTGGCTCCGTTGCCTGAGCCTGGGCTATCGACAGATGCAGACTCTGAGAGTGAGGGAGAGGAGTTGGCAAGGCCTCCCTCTCCAGGACCCTCCTCTCTGGCAATGCCTCTGGAGGACACCGAAGGCCAAACAATAGGCTCAGAGCCAAGCACATCCCCGCAGCCACAGGTGGACAGCAACGAAGAAAATAAGTGCTGGCTGGACCCTCGACAGAGGTGCAGGGAGAAGCGTGCGCAGCAGAGGGGAAGGCGTGCCAGAGATTAGCTGAGTCACTGGACCACACCCCACAGGGTATAAATGTGGGTGTGGTGGCCGGTTCAGTTTGTGATGAGCAAAAACTGGAAATAATCCATGATCTCTGCGTTACTGGACTTTGCCTACTTTATCGGACTGCATTTGGATTAATCCTTGTATTGTTGAAACTCTGCCTGTTTTATCGTAATGCTTGCAGTCTAATCTTTGTTTTGTGTGAGTAAAGTCTGAATTGGCAGCTAGCCACTGGGTTGCTGTCAGCTTTATCTTCAAAGAGTTTTGTCATGTGGCTTATTAACTCTGGGCCGTCTGTGGGGGTGCGTGTGTGGTACAGGGACAGAACAGTTTCACTTCTGATCCAAGGAGCCTCTTCGGCTCTGACTGGATGGTGGGGAATGGAAGGATTTTGGCTCCATACCCGTTTGCACCACTCAGGTGACTCTGAGGACACAGATTAACCTCCAAGTGGCCTCAACGACTCTCTAAAAGGATGCAAATGACCAGCGGTCTGCAAGGAGTATCAATCCTTCCATTCCCCACCATCCAGTCAGAGCTGAAGAAGCTTCTTGGATAAGAAGCGAAACATCTTTGAGGAAAAACAAGAAAACCCAGTTGCCTCTTGGGGGAAAAAAACCCACCTTTGAGACTGAGAATCTCCAGAGACTTTTAGGTCTGCAACTAATATTAAGCAACATTTTTATTAATTATTTAAAAAAAAACTGAACTGAAAAGATGCATACCATAAGTGCAGATGGCACAAACCTATAAAGGGAGTGCCGGCCATCCCAAATAGACCCGCCATCAAACAGACCAGATGAGCTACTATTTTATTGTTAAGTCTACTTTAAAAGAATCTTGTATGTCTGAAAATACTAATCTCCCATTGTGTGCACCTTACTGGAACCTGGTGTAACTTTTTAACAAGGGGCCTAGAAGCTATATATATGCTTAGAGCAGTGGTCCTCAGACAGACGGCTGTTACGTATAAGCTGGGTTGACCAAATCAGAAATGAGGAGGTGATAAGCTGGAAAGCCAAGGGAAATCAACAAAACCATTAAAAAGCCAAAGTTAGAATATTTCTGGACATGTGATGCGACACCCGGAAAAATACGGCATCCGTCACTTAATCCTCCAGGGAAAGATTGAAGGCAAACAAGGTCCTGGCAGAAGAAGAACATCATGGCTTCGAAATCTAAGGGACTGAGTTTTTGACAAAACTCAGCAGCACTTTTTCGTGTGGCTGCTGATAAAAATAGGATCGCCAACATGATTGCCAACGTCCGATGATGGCAGAAGAAGAAGAAGAAGGAGGAGGAGGAGGAGGAGGAGGAGGAGGAAGAGGAGAAGAAGAAGAAGAAGAAGAAGAAGAAGAAGAAGAAGAAGAAGAAGAAGAAGAAGAAGAAGAAGAAGAAGAAGAAGAAGAAGAAGAAGAAGAAGAAGAAGAAGAAGAAGAAGAAGAAGAAGAAGAAGAAGAAGAAGAAGAAGAAGAAGAAGAAGTCATCCCCAACCTTTCTGGCATGGCGGCCCAGTGGGAGGGGAAGAGGGAATAGTTCTGTGTGAATGACAGACACGTGTGGGAGTCCGCATAGCTCCATTTGCAAGAGCAGTGGATGTACATGGCCACCACTCGCGCAAATGGGAGCTTCACACGAGTGCTATCCGCCTGCGCAATTGGAGCTTCACGCACGAGTCCGAGCACCCGCTGCTTACACAAGTGGAGCGGCGTGTCGCACACTCGGGAGTTCTGGGAGTTGAAGTCCACACATCTTCAGATTGCCATGGTTACGAAACAGTGGCTTAGGACCTCATCTCATCTAATATAAATCCAGCACTGTTATTTCTCCTCCCCCAGGGCACGCACCTGTGCTCGGCAGCATCGCCTTCTCCCTATAGGACAGGTACTTCTTCAGCCATTCAATGCATTCCTTCTCCAGGTAGATTTTATTTCTCTGGGACCACCGCACATTATTATCCCATTTCCTCTTGGTGATCTCAGCCAGGGGGTCAGGAGCCACCCAGCTCAGGGTCTCCTTATCAAAGGTGAGGAAGGTCTTCCCGTCGTAGCCATATTCCGAATAACCTCCTTTGCTCCTGTTTCCCTGGAGTTCACAGCCATAAGACGTCTGCCATGTGTGAAACCCTGGGGGAAAAAAAGCACAAAAAGGGGTGAGGAAGACCCCGGGTATCCCCCTCCCCAGAAACCCCCACAAAAGAGGCTCACTTTCCTTTCATTCCCACCAAACGTAGGCAACCACAACACCAGGAAGGTGGGCAACCACAACACAACTATTGCTTAATAGTTATTGACAGTCAAACCTTTCTGTCCCCTGAGATTGGATGGCCTTCTGTAAAGCTTCCACACGTTGGATCTTGTCCTACCTCCAGGCACTTTAGAGAGCAAATCTCCTCCTCCTCCTCCTCCTCCTCCTCCTCTCTCTTCCTCTTCCTCTTCCTCTTCCTCCTCCACTACTACTACTACTACTACTACTACTACTTCTTCTTCTTCTTCTTCTTCTTCTTCTTCTTCTTCTTCTTCTTCTTCTTCTTCTTCTTCTTCTTCTTCTTCTTCTTCTCCTTCTCCTTCTCCTTCTCCTTCTCCTTCTCCTCCTTCTCCTTCTCCTTCTTCTTCATTTTATTTATTTATTAATCTGAAGTCAATCAATCAGAATCGAGCTGGAAGGGACCTTGGGAGGTCTTCTAGTCCAGCAGGAGACTCTATACCATTTCAATTAAGTGGCTGCCCAGTCTCTTCTTAAAAACCTCCAGTGACGAAGCACCTACAACTTCTGGAGGCAAGCAGTTCCACTGGTTAATTGTCCTCACTGTTAGGAAGTCTCTCCTTAATTCCAGGTTTCTTCTCTCCTTAAATAGTTTCCATCCACTGTTTCTTGTCTTGCCAGCTGGTGCAAAAGAAATGGACTCCCTCCTCTTTGTGGCAGCCCCTCAAATACTGCTGTCATGTCCCCCCTAATCCTTCTTTTCTCTAGACTAGCCACCCCCAAATCCTGCAACCATTCTTCATGAAAGAGGCAGGCAGTTAAGAAATGTGAAATATAAATAAATGAATAAATGAATTCATTCATTCGTTCATTCATTCATTCACCCAGCCGCCCTTTTCACACAAAGCAACTCAGGGTAGCATACAGCAATCGGTCAAATATACAGACCAGGAGTCTACAAACCTGGCAACTTTGTGGATTTCAGCTCCCAGAATTGAAGTATGGCTGGCTGAGGAATTCTAGGAATTGAAGTCCACAAGTCTTAAAGTTGCCAAGTTTGGAGACCCCGATATAGACAATAATCATTTTAAAATACAAAAAGGATCATGATTAAAAATGAAAAAAAAAATTTAAATGCCGTACTTTTCAGAGTATAAGACGCACTTCTCCCCCAAAAAAGAGGGTGGAAATGTTGGTGTGTCTTATACACCGAATATAGCCATTTCTGGCCTCCCGAAGCCCCGCCCCGTGCATCCTGTTTTTGCAAAAAAAACAGGCCCGTTTTTCGCAAAAATGGGGCGCGCAGAGGCCTTGGGAGCATCTTATAGTCCGAAAAATATGGTATATAAACCGCACGGAGAGAGTAAAAAATTCAACCACAATAGAGCCATCTCTTCCCTAGGACAGCCTTCAAAGAACTGTCACCTCCATGCAACCATTTATCCAAAAATACATTTAAGGCAAGAAATGTTGCTGTTGGACATAAAGGAGAGGGAGAGAGAATTACTGGACAACAGAGAATAGTTCTTGTGAGGAGCAAGACCAGCGTCTCCCTTTCTTTATTGGATGAGGGGCTGCCCTCATTCTTCCTCCCCTATACCCCACATGCTCCCAATATGCAAGAGATTAAAAGGAGGAGGCACCGCTACTCACTTCCTTCTTCATTTAATGCCTGGTGGGCAACTGTCTCGTTTTTATGACGTGTGGACTTCAATTCCCAGAATTCCTGAGCCAGCCAGACTTCTGGGAGTTGAAGTCCACAGGTTGTAAAGACGCCATACTTGTTCACCCCTGTTCTAATCCAATTGATGAATACAGGTCTTGCAGACCGATTATTTCTTCACAGATGATTTATCAACCGCCACACCCCAGAGCCCCCAAGTGTCGATTCCACCTTCGCTCACCTCTAGTCTGCTTGTAGCGGTTTTGAACATGTCTCAGGTCTTCTTGCAACACCTCCTGAGTTAAACTCAAGATATCGCTTCCCTCCTTCCAATAGGTGGGATCCTCCTTCTCCACCTCCTTCATCCAGGACACCTTTGGCACTTTCTTCTTCTTCTGGCTGTCATAGTAAGTGATGATCTGGTTATCCACAAAGCCCACCGTGATGAACTGGGGCAGCCCCTCACTGGGTTCGGATACCACCAGGTACTGATATCGCAGAGAGTGCCTGAAAGAGCCTAATAAGGAAGAGGGAAGATGAGAAAACAGGAGATCTTCAGTTCTGGACATTCTTTCAGGCCTGCCCCAATCGGCCCCCTCAGGAAAACAAGACTCTTGGATTGAATCAAAAGAAATTTTACTGAGAGAAACTGACTGCAGTAAAGTCAGGCAGAATCTGAAGTTTCCACACAAAGCAAAAGCAATTCTTTCAGTTTCCCAATCCCAAACCCCCCACCCCCCCATGATCAGTCCACTGGCAGCCAATGTGATGCCAAAAAGATGTTTTGAGAACACTGAGGTGTCAGGCACACTCAGGGCACGACGGCCTTGGAACCTGGCAAAAATCTGCTGGGAAGGATTCTATCCCGTCTCCAAAGACTGTCTCCTTCCCTAATTCCCAGGCACACAGCAGAAGTGGAAAAATCCCAAGTATACCCACCCGCCCCAGCATAATGGCAGGACACCAGAATACGATGGTAGACCTGACACGTTCCTCCAATCTTCACACAGTGGCCCTCAAACCAGAAAGCCATCATCTTTGTGCTTCAAAGGCTTTACGATTCTGTCTCTAAATCTGGGACATGCAGATTTTGGCTGATGGTAAAGCCAAGCTAAGACGACTCTAGTCAGTGAGTGGCGCTCTCTGAGCTTGGTTGTTTTTCTTGCAGATGTTTCGTTAAACAAACTAGGTAACGTCATTGGGTGGGGATGGGACAACTCACTTGCAGCCAGGTGGGTGTGACTCGGGGTGGTATTCACTTACCTTCACCACCAGTTAACAAATGCCTAGACTAGCAGTCAGCAACCTGTGGCTCTGGAGCCGCATGTGGCTCTTTCACCCCTCTGCTGCGGCTCCGTCATTCAAAATATGCGTCACAACCGCTAATGTGCGACACCCACCGGCATTTGATTTATTGAGCTTTTCAACCCCCCAGTAGGCCAACCATGGATAAATCCAAGAAAAGAAAAGTTTCAGAAGAAAGCAGAACGTTTAATTCAACTACATATGCTTGTTTTGTGGCCACTCAAGAAATAGGCACGGGAAGGGTTTTGTGGCTCCCGTTGTTTTCTTTTCTGTGGGAAACGGTTCCAAATGACTCTTTTGAGTGTTTAAGGTTGCAGACCCCTGGCCTAGACACACCCAGTTCCCACAACTGTTCATCATAGATTTTGTAATTTTGTATGTGGGAAAAACAAATGCAGTCTTTGTGTCTATGTTCTGCACCATATTAAGAAAACCCCTCAGAATGTCCCTTCTGTGGGAAAGAATGTGTGGACCCTTGAGGAAGTGGGGTGGGAGGAATTTCTATGTAGTTTCAGCCCATTTTGTGTTTTCAGTACACAATCCTTAACTGTGACACTGAAACGACAGAGGTCCTCTTTTCCTCCACAAGGTGGCAGCACCAACATGAGTACTGTCAATTCTACACTCAAAAGGCAGGATCAAATGTTTATCTCTTCATTTTCACTTCATTTGCATTTTAATGCAAATGTGTACTGGGCTGGGAGATTTCAACATCCAGGATCTTTTAAAACAGTGTTTCTCAAACGACAACTTTAAGACATGTGGACAAGATCACAAGTTACAGCCAGAGGAGAAGCATTTGCAGAAAAAAAAAATATCAAAAGTGATCAACAGCTGGCTCACATTGAAAAGTTATATGAAAAATAAAGAGAGAGAGAGGGAGGGAGGGAGGGAAGGAAGGAAGGAAGGAAGGAAAGAAGGAAGGAAGGAAGGAAGGAAGGAAGTGACTCAATTCATAATACTATTTTCTTCCTAATGATTCAAAATGATTCATCTCAAAACAGCTCATCAATCCAGAAATGTCTGCAGTGGAAACCAACATCTTAATGATTTCCTTACGTAGTGAAATGAAAAATTCACCGGTTCTGTAGGCGTGGCTTGGAGGGGTGGTAATGTGACTGGGTGGGCGTGGCCAGCTTTTTTGTTTTGTTTTTTTTACTTTTAAAAGCATTTTTTCTACAACCTTAAGAGGTTGCAGAAAAAAATGCTTTTAAAAGCCTCTGATGATCAGGCAACTCCGCTGGGATCGTCAGAGAGTTTTACGTTTTACATGGGTAAAACGAAGGCCCAGATGGTTGGGAAGCAAGAGGCTGACTCTGTAAACCGCTTAGAAGCAGGGATGTCAAACTCTCAGCCCACGGGCCGGATGCGTCATGTGCTGATCACAGTCATTCCCCGGTTTAGCAAAGGGGGAAAAAGTTGTGATTCGTCACCTGACGACGACATGACGACGTGAGTTTGACACCCCTGACTCAGAAAGCACTGTAAGCAGTATTTAAGTCAGGAGTGGAATCCAACAGGTTCTGAAGAATCGGCAGCAGAAATTTTGAGTAGTTCGGAGAACCGGCAAATACCACCTCTGGCTGGTCCCAGAGTGGGGTGGGAATGGAGATTTTGCAGTATCCTTCCCCTGCCCTGCCCACCAAGCCACACCCACCAAGCCACAGAACCAGTAGTGAAAAAAATTTGAATTTCACCAATGATTTAAGTCTAAGTGCTATTGCTATTTATTTATTTATTTTTTATTTTAATTTGATTTATATGCCACCCTTCTCCGGAGACTCAGGGCAGCTTACAATGTGCTCAGCAATAGCCTTCATCCTTTTGTATATTTATACAAAGTCAGCTTATTGCCCCCACAAACTGGGTCCTCATTTCACCTACCTTTGAAAGGATGGAAGGCTGAGTCAACCTTGAGCCTGGTGAGATTCGAACCTGCAGTAATTGCAGGCAGCTGGTCTTAATAACCAGCTTAATAACAGGGTGCCTTAGACCACTGTACTACCAAGGCTATTGCTATTTTCTTTTACCATCTTCATCCCTTTCTGCTCTACGGCTCTAGTGAACTGAAATATTAGCCACAAAAACTTGATATTTGATATTTTGATTTGATATTTAAGATGCCACCAAACCTTTGGATCTCAGTCACAAATGACAAGGTTCAAATGACCAAAGCTATTACAGGCAGTCCTTGACTTACAGCCCCAACTGAGCCCAAGGTTTTGGTTGCTAAATGAGACATTTAGTAAAAGTGAGTTTAGCCCCATTTTATGACCTTCCTTGCCACCATTGCTAAGCGAATCACTTCAGTTGTTAATAATGCAGTTTTAAAATAAAACTTTACTTGTTAGAAGATCACAAAAGGGGATCGCATGATCCCAGGACACTGCAACCATTGTCTCTGAATTTGGCTCAAGAGACCACGGGGATGCTGCAATGGTGGTTAAGTGTGAAAAATGGCCATAAGTCACTGTAAAATTGAATGGTCACTAAGCGAAGCTTGCTACGTCAAGGGCTACCTTTATCCAGCTAGGAATTTTTCCCCTGGGGGACCAAGAAGCAATGATTGCTTATTGTTAAAAGAATTTAAAAGGCAACCAAAAAAGGCAATTGCTTTGTTTGAAGCCAGGTGAGAAGAGGCTAGACGGTGTTAAATAACAATTTAACCTCCCGTCTGGACTACTGTAATGCTCTCTACGTGGGGCTCCCCTTGAAGAGCACTCGGAGGCTCCAACTGGTCCAGAATGTGGCCGCGCGGGTGATTATGGGAGCGACACGGTGCACCCATGTAACACCTCTCCTGCGCGAGCTGCACTGGCTCCCGGTGGTCTTCCGGGTGCGATTCAAGGTGTTGGTTACCATCTTTAAAGCGCTCCATGGCTTAGGACCTGGGTACTTACAAGATCACCTTTTGCTACCGATAGCCTCCCACCGGCCAATACGCTCCCACAGAGAGGGACTCCTCAGGGTGCTGTCGGTCAAACAATGTCAACTGGCGACCCCCATGGGGAGAGCCTTCTCTGTGGGGGCACCTGCCCTCTGGAATGAATTGCCCCCGGAGATACGGATGATCCCTGACCTACGCATCTTTCGCTGTGCCCTCAAGACGTTATTGTTCCAACAAGCTGAGCTGGCCTAAACATGAATTTTAATGGTTGTTTTAGTTTTTTAATAATATTGGGGCCAAATTATTTAATATATTTTAAATTGCTTTTAAAATTTTTGTATATGTGTATTTTAGTGTTGGCTGTGCATCGCCCTGAGTCCTTCGGGAGAAGGGCGGTATAAAAATTTAAATAATAAATAAATAAATAAATAATGCCCTTTATTAGGCAAGGCCTCAGGCCATAACAACAGCAAACACCCATTATAGTAGGAACGAATGAACAAGGCAACAATTTCTGTCACGGCTGCTATTTATACAGCAGCTGTTAAACAGGTGGCCACGCACTCATTTCTCCCACCGGCCGAGCTGTCACTTCACAGCCAATAGGCAACACTTCTGTGTTGCTGGGCAGAGGCATGGCTACATATGCCACAACAACAAATCAAATCAACAATATGAAAATACTCTGAAACGAAAGTACACAATCTCACTTTAAAAGTAGTTCCCCCCCCCCATGATAAGTCCATAAGGTTGTGAGGAATTGAGCTTGGCTTGAAAGGGATTTTTATCCTGAAGAGGGACCAAGACAACCTTGGCAAACCTTGAAAAATTCAGCAGGGACAGCTGTACCTTTTCCAGTGGTGGGATTCAGCCAGTTCGCACCTATTCGGGAGAACCAGTTGTTAACTTTCTAAGCAGTTCGGAGAAGCGATTGTTAGAAGAAATCTTATTTTGTTTTTTTCCACTTTACAGGGCTAATCCTGTAAGGAAGGCAGAAAGGAAACCTTCTGATGGTGTTTCTAGCCTAAACTTTATTGCCCTGCTTACAGAAACTGCCTCTCTGGTTTAACCCTTATTACATTGTACCAGCTAAGGCGAAGCGCACATTGACATGAGTGACATTGAGTTGGCCATGCCCACATGGTCACATGACCACTGAGCCACGCCTACCAAGCTGGTCATTAGGGCAGAGAACTGGTTGTTAAATTATTTGAATCCCACCACTGACCTTTTCCTAGTTCTGATGGCAGGCTAAGTGGATATCTCAAGGCTAGAAGCGACATTCTGAGTGTCAGTTTTGGTTGCCATGGAGACATGGTTGCTAAGAGTCGACAAGAAATCTGATCTCGCAAAATCAATCAACCAATTAATTAGTTTGGAAGAAATCCAGCTGGACCTGAGGGCGGGAGAAGCAGCAATGGATGGAAACTAATTAAGGAGAGAAGCAACCTAGAACCAAGGAGACATTTCCCAGACAGTCAGCACAATTAACAGCTTGCCTCCAGAAATTGTGGGTGCGTCATCATTCTTGAGGCGTTTTTAAGAAGAGATTGGACAGAAATTGCCTGAAATGGTATAAAGGTCTCCTGCCTGAGCAGGAGGCTGGACTAGAAGACCTCCAAGGTCCCTTCCAACTCTGTTATTCTGTTATAAGAGCTGAGGTGGCGCAGTGATTAGAGTGCAGTACCGCAGCTACTTCAGTTGACTGCTAGTTTAGCAGATCAAATCTCACCGGCTCAAGGTTGACTCAGCCTTCCATCCTTCCGAGGTGGGTAAAATGAGGACCCAGATTGTTGGGGGCAATATGCTATGGTGTAAGCCGCCCAGAGTCCTCAGAGAGTGGGCGGCATAGAAATATGAAAAATAAATAAATAAATAAATAAATAAATAAATAAATAAATAAATAAATAAATAAATAAATAAGTTTCAGAATACGTTCGTGAAGATTCTCGGTTACCCAGGTAAAGTTGTTGGGAAGTTGAGTCATGGCAACTGGTCTTCGTTTATTTTCCCATCGGTTAGAAATGTTTGCTGCTTATCCAAGTGTTAAGGTTTTTGTGCAGCTCAGAATCCGATAAAGTCAATGAAACTCTGAACACGAGGCACTGATATGAAACTGATAACCAGTTTTATTTTTGGCCAAAGCAAAACTAAGCAACCTTATCTCTCCCACCTTAAAACAGTCAGAGAAAGAGAAAAGCAAATGCGCGCGGAAAAAAAAAACTTTTTCCGTCTCCTTATAGTTTTACACCCAGCTTGCATAGAACGTCATTGTGTTAGAAACCTAATCTCTATCCATTATAATCATTTTTGTCAGCGCTTAAAACAATGAAGCTTACAGAAGGAAAGGAATACATTTTCTGGCATCTAGCCCAGAGCTTTGCTATCTTCAAATAAGATACTTTCTGCACCAAGTCAGGAAGCTCAAACTGCCCAAGGAGCTGTTGATACAGGAATTATTGAGTCTGTCATCTGCACCTCTATAATTGTCTGGTTTGGTTCTGCAACTCAACAAGACAGACACCGAGTTCAGAGGATAATTAGAACTGCAGAAAAAACAATGGTTACCAACCTGCCTTCCACTGAGGACCTGTATACTGCACCAGTCAAAAAGAGGGCTGTGGAAATATCTATTGACCCCTCACATCCTGGACATAAATTGTTTCAATTTCTACCCTCAAAACGACGCTATAGAGCACTGCACACCAGAACAACTAGACACAAGGACAGTTTTTTCCCAAACGCCATCACTCTGCCAAACAAATAATTCCCTCAACGCTGTCAAATTATGCACTAAGTCTGCACTACTATTAATCTTCTCATCGTTCCTATCACCCATCTCCTCCCATTTATGACTGTATGACTGTAGTATTCTTACTAATTATATTGTTTCCTAGTATGATTTGATTGCTTATTTGTACCCTATGACTATAATTAAGTGCTATACCTTACCATTCTTGATGAATGTATTTTATTCTTCTTATGTACACCGAGAGCATATGCACCAAAGGCAAATTCCTTATGTGCCCAATCACACTTGACCAATAAAGAATTCTAATCTAATCTAATCTACAACAGGCAAAATTCACATTTTGCATTTCACAGCGAGTTACTTTAGCTAGGCTACTTGGCCATTAACCTGGAGGCTTTCTCTTTGCAAGTTGTGCATTATGGAGCAGGGAATCAAAAGCTGAGTTAGGTTTAAAACTGTGTACATGCTCTAATCCTTTCCCAAGTAATTTCTTCCATCTGAGCTGGGTGGTTGTGTGACTCCATATATGTGATTTGGGATGAATAAGCTTCCATAAATATCCTCTGGGGTGAATAGGCTCATGAGGAGGAGGAGAGTCAGAAAACTTTGGGGAAGTTTGAAATCCTATTTCCTTCCCCTTTTTAACCAAAGTCATCCAAGCAAGCTCGAGGCAGGACACGTGGCCTCCCAGGTTCTAGCCTGGTGCCTTAACCACAGGGGTCTATCTCCTAACTTGGCAATTTTTAAGTCTTGGGGACTTCGACTCCCAGAATTCCTCAGCCAGCATTTACGACTTGGGGACTTCCAACTCCCAGAATTCCTGGCTGGCTGAGGAATTCTGGGAATTGAAGTCCCCAAGTCTTAAAAGTTGCTAAATTTGGAGATCCCTGCACTAGATCACCCTGGCTCTCTCAGACGCTGAGGTAAATCAAAAATAGTCTCTGAAGAAAACCATGGAAAACCAGAGGGAAGGGGTCCCCAAACTTGGCAGCTTTAAGACTTAGGGACTTCCAACTCCCAGAATTCTCCAGCCAGCATGGGAATTCTGGGAATTGAAGTCCCCGAGTCTTAAATGCTGGCTGAGGAACTCTGGGAGTTGAAGTCCCCAAGTCTTAAAGCTGCCACGTTTGAAGACCTCTGTCCTAGGGAGATTTGATCCTGTATCTGGACGGGGTTAATGACACCGTTTACACACAGACACACACACACACACACAGAGAACTCCCTTTCGCCCAGCAGTGTTTCTCAACCTTGGAATCTTGAAGATGGGTGGACTTCAACTCCCAGAATCTTCAAGCTACCAAGGTTGAGAAACACTGCCCCAGAGAGTCTTGCCTAGCCACTTACACAACGCGCGACCTTTTGCCCTAAGATCAGCTGTTCTAATTTTGTCCTGGATCTGTTTATTATGATAACAAGCTGTGCCGGATCAGGAGCCAGGCGGATCCGGACTGGGCGAAGAAGATCAACATCTTACGACGGCAAAATAAATGATTTATTCCAGAATCCAGCGCTGGGGGAATAATATTAATATAATATATAATAATAATAATAATAATAATAATAATATAACAACAAATCCAAGTGAGCGCTTCTCCTGCAAGAAGGCTATCCAAGGCGACGTTTTCTCTGCGGGATCTTCGCCTGCGTTCACCCGATCGCTCAATAACGGGGAAGGGGGAGATCTCCTGAATAAATCCCGGCCAGCCAAACAATTTAGGGTCTGCAAACCCCACACAGCCCCCCCCACACACCCCAGAAAGCGCTTACCGGAGGAGCCCCCCAGCAGGAGCAACGCCAGCAACTCCAGCCAAAGCTCCATTGCGTTCCCACTCGCGCATTTCTCCTCCTGCTCGCAGGACTCGGGAGACAGACTGAGAGACGTGGAAACGGTTTACCCTTTGTAAACCGCAATTGCTCCGCCCCGATAATTGAGTACGCGGCTATAACCACAGAAACGAAAACAAAAAGCGATTGCTGTGAGAGAAACGAAAGCTAAGAAAAATCCGCAGGGCTTGCAAAGGAAGAAACGCGGGGAGTGGAAAACGGGGGGGACCTTCCTGGGCTTGCAAAGGGGGAGCGCTAAGAAAATTGTGGGGGAGCCCTGCCTCATCTTCGGAGGCTGTACAGCGCCTGGCCCAGAGAGCCCCCAAAGCCAGCCCTTCTCTCTCAGCCCTAAGAAGGAGGCAACGGCAAACCGTTTGTGAAACACCGTCCTAGGGGCTGGTCCAGGCAGTCGCCAGGAATCACAAAAGCTGGCTTAGATGGCACCAAAAAAGGAGGTGGAGGGGAGAAACAGTGCCAGAGTGAAGGTCGGAGACCCCCTCCCCCAAAATCGGGGGTGAAATCCAGCAGGTTCTGACGGGTTCTGGCGAACCGGTAGCGGAAAGTTGGAGCAGTTTGGAGAACTGGCAAATACCCACCTCTGGCTGGCCCCAGAGTGGGGTGGGAATGGAGATTTTGCAATATCCTTCCCCTGGAGTGGGGTGGGAATGGAGATTTTGCAGTATCCCTCCCCCCGGAGTGGGGAGGGAATGGAGATTTTGCAATATCCTTCCCCTGGAGTGGGGTGGGAATGGAGATTTTGCAGTATCCTTCCCCTGGGGTGGGGAGGGAATGCAGGTTTTTGCAGTATCCTTCCCCTGGGGTGGGGAGGGAATGCAGGTTTTGCAGTATCCCTCCCCTGGGGTGGGGTGGGAATGGAGATTTTGCAATATCCTTCCCCCAGGAGTGGGGAGGGAATGGAGATTTTGCAGTATCCTTCCCTTGCCACACCCACCAAGCCACACCACGCCCACCGAACCTGTAGTAAAAAAATTTGGATTTTACCACTGCCCCAAATGAATTCCCCCTCCTCCACCCCACACCCTTCAGACATCTTAAAGGGTGGCATCTTAAAGACAAGATTTCCAAGTATTTCCTAAGGGAGGGAAAAAACATCCCCTAATCCAGTGGTTCTCAACTTTTTCTTCACCAGGGCCCTCTCTTAAAGGCCTTTAAATCCTCTAATCATGGTAATTGTTCTGTTCCCCAGGCCTCTGGCTCCACTGGGAACAGGCAGATAAACTCTAGCAAACAGGTTTTCATACAGATTATATTTATTTGGGAATCCTTAAACACATAGACTTACACTCAAGGTGAGTCAAGGTGAGGTGCATCTAAGTATTTCATAAACTACCCCATTTCCTAGTGTAAAATAATGGTAGTTCTGTCCCCCTGTTCAGAAAGCATGCTTCTCTCTTCTGAGGTAATTCAAAATGGTCAGAAGGCGAAATACAACGACGTCTCCTAGAGTTTGCATTGCACCCCAGTGGTCAGAAGGCAAACTACAACGAAGTCTCCTAGAGTTTGCATCGTTTTGACCACTGGGGTGCATTGCAAACTCTAGGAGACATCATTGCAGTTTGCCTTTTGACCACTGGGGTGCGTTGCAAACTCTAAAAGACATCGTTGCAGTTCGCCTTTTGACCACGGGTGCGCTGCAAACTCTAGGAGATGTCGTTGTAGTTCACCTTTTGACCACTGGGATGCGTTGCAAACTCTAGGAGATGTTGTTGTAGTTCGCCTTCTGACCACTGGGGTGCATTGCAAACTCTAGGAGATGTCGTTGTAGTTCACATTTTGACCACTGGGATGCGTTGCAAACTCTAGGAGATGTTGTTGTAGTTCGCCTTCTGACCACTGGGGTGCATTGCAAACTCTAGGAGATGTCGTTGTAATTCACCTTTTGACCACTAGGGTGTGTTGAAAACTCTAGGAGACGTTGTTGCAGTTCGCCTCCTGACCACTGGAGTGCGTTGCAAACTCTAGCAGACATTGTTGTAGTTCGCCTCCTGACCACTGGGGTGCGTTGCAAACTCTAGGAGATGTCATTGTAATTCGCATTATGACCACTAGGGTGTGTTGAAAACTCTAGGAGACGTTGTTGCAGTTCGCCTTATGACCACTGGGGTGCGTTGCAAACTCTAGGAGACGTCGTTGTAGTTCACTTTCTGACCACTGGGGTGCGTTGCAAACTCTAGGAGACGTCATTGTAATTCGCATTATGACCACTAGGGTGCGTTGCAAACTCTAGGAGACATCATTGTAGTTCGCTTTCTGACCACTGGGTTGCGTTGCAAACTCTAGGAGGTGTCGTTGCAGTTCGCCTTCTGACCACTGGGGTGCATTGCAAACTCTAGGAGACGTTGTTACAGTTCGCCTTCTGACCACTGGGGTGCGTTGCAAACTCTAGGAGACGTTGCAGTTCACTTTTTGACCACTGGGGTGCGTTGCAAACTCTAGGAGACGTTGTTGCAGTTAGCCTTCTGACCACTGGGGTGCGTTGCAAACTCTAGGAGATGTCGTTGTAGTTCACCTTTTGTCCACTGGGATGCGTTGCAAACTCTAGGAGATGTTGTTGCAGTTAGCCTTTTGATCACTGGGGTGCGTTGCAAACTCTAGGTGACGTTGCAGTTCACTTTTTGACCACTGGGGTGCGTTGCAAACTCTAGGAGATGTCATTGTAATTTGCATTATGACCACTAGGGTGCGTTGAAAACTCTAGGAGACGTTGTTGCAGTTCGCCGTATGACCACTGGGGTGCGTTGCAAACTCTAGGAGACGTCATTGTAGTTCGCTTTCTGACCACTGGGTTGCGTTGCAAACTCTAGGAGGTGTCGTTGCAGTTCGCCTTCTGACCACTGGGGTGCGTTGCAAACTCTAGGAGACGTAGTTACAGTTCGCCTTCTGACCACTGGGGTGCGTTGCAAACTCTAGGAGACGTTGCAGTTCACTTTTTGACCACTGGGGTGCGTTGCAAACTCTAGGGGACATCTTTGCAGTTCGCCTCCTGACCACTGGGGTGCGTTGCAAACTCTAGCAGACGTCGTTGTAGTTCGCCTTCTGACCACTGGGGTACGTTGCAAAGTCTGGGAAATGTTGTTGTAATTCACCTTTTGACCACTGGGGTGTGTTGCAAACTCTAGGAGATATTGTTGTAGTTTGCCTTCTGACCACTGGGGTGCGTTGCAAACTCTAGGAGATGTCATTGTAGTTCACCTTTTGACCACTGGGATGGGTTGCAAACTCTAGGAGACGTTGTTGCAGTTAGCCTTCTGACCACTGGGGTGCTTTGCAAACTCTAGGAGATGTCGTTGTAGTTCACCTTTTGTCCACTGGGATGTGTTGCAAACTCTAGGAGATGTTGTTGCAGTTCGCCTTCTGACCACTGGGGTGCGTTGCAAACTCTAGGGGACATCATTGTAATTCACATTATGACCACTAGGGTGCGTTGCAAACTCTAGGAGACATCATTGTAGTTCGCCTTCTGACCACTGGGGTACGTTGCAAAGTCTGGGAAATGTTGTTGTAATTCACCTTTTGACCACTGGGGTGTGTTGCAAACTCTAGGAGACGTTGTTGCAGTTAGCCTTCTGACCACTGGGGTGCGTTGCAAACTCTAGGAGATGTCGTTGTAGTTCACCTTTTGTCCACTGGGATGCGTTGCAAACTCTAGGAGATGTTGTTGCAGTTCGCCTTCTGACCACTGGGGTGCGTTGCAAACTCTAGGAGATGTCGTTGTAGTTCACCTTTTGTCCACTGGGATGTGTTGCAAACTCTAGGAGATGTTGTTGCAGTTCGCCTTCTGACCACTGGGGTGCGTTGCAAACTCTAGGGGACATCATTGTAATTCACATTATGACCACTAGGGTGCGTTGCAAACTCTAGGAGACATCATTGTAGTTCGCCTTCTGACCACTGGGGTACGTTGCAAAGTCTGGGAAATGTTGTTGTAATTCACCTTTTGACCACTGGGGTGTGTTGCAAACTCTAGGAGACGTTGTTGCAGTTAGCCTTCTGACCACTGGGGTGCGTTGCAAACTCTAGGAGATGTCGTTGTAGTTCACCTTTTGTCCACTGGGATGCGTTGCAAACTCTAGGAGATGTTGTTGCAGTTAGCCTTTTTTTTTTTTTTTAATTGAAAAAGTTTTAAAAACAAACATATTTTCCCCACAACCCCCCAACCCCCCCAACCCCCCCTCGCCCTCACCGACTTCCCAGAGCAGAACACAAGGTATTTCTATTGATCTTTAACAATAATCTAAATTGCATAACCAATCAATAAGTTGCAGTTAGCCTTTTGATCACTGGGGTGCGTTGCAAACTCTAGGTGACGTTGCAGTTCACTTTTTGACCACTGGGGTGCGTTGCAAACTCTAGGAGATGTCATTGTAATTCGCATTATGACCACTGGGGTGCGTTGCAAACTAGGAGATGTTGTTGCAGTTCGCTTTCTGACCACTGAGGTACGTTGCAAACTCTGGGAAATGTTGTTGTAATTCGCATTTTGACCACTGGGGTGCGTTGCAAACTCTAGGAGATGTTGTTGTAGTTCGCCTTCTGACCACTGGGGTGCATTGCAAACTCTAGGAGATGTCGTTGTAGTTCACCTTCTGACCACTGCGGTGCGTTGCAAACTCTAGGAGATGTCATTGTAGTTCGCCTTATGACCACTAGGGTACGTTGCAAACTCTAGGAGACATTGTAGTTCACCTTTTGACCACTGAGGTGCGTTGCAAACTAGGAGACGTTGTTGCAGTTCGCTTTCTGACCACTGGGGTACGTTGCAAACTCTTGGAAATGTTGTTGTAATTTGCATTTTGACCACTGGGGTGCGTTGCAAACTCTAGGTGATGTCGTTGCAGTTCGCCTTTTGACCATTGGGGGGCGTTGCAAACTCTAGGAGACGTTGCAGTTCGCCTGCTGACCACTGGAGTGCGTTGCAAACTCTAGAGACACACAAAAGGTGTGTTAGGGTATGGTGTAAGTCTAACAAGTTGTTCAGGAAATATATGTGTTCTATCACTTTAAATGTATTCTGTAACTTTATGTAATGCTGTAACAGATGTAATGCTGAGTAATTGTACTGCTGAGTCATTG